AGAACGTGATGCATCTTCAACATCTAAATTGCCGGATCGAAATTTTGCAAACCAGTTTTGGCACTGGCGTTCTGTCAATACATCTTCTCCATACACATCGGATAATTTTTTTCTTGCTTGAATAGCATTTTTACCTTTTCGATAGTAAAAAAGTAAAATATGCCGAAAATGCTGCTTTTCACTTTCATATTTGATAGGGCACCAACCAAAAACTACTGCGTAGAATCAATCGAACTTTTTTCACAAGCAAGCCTTGCTATATCAGCTGTCAAAATATATAATGATTATGCGGCTTAAGTGTGAAGTTGGCTGTGAAAAAATACAATAAGTCCTCTGTTGGGAAAAAACGAAATTACTTTCCGAACAACCCAATACTTTGGTCCGAAACATGCTCTATCGCACCCTATTACAGGCGTATGACGGAGTGATCGCGAGGACCGCAGTCAGGGATGGCCACTTTACGCCCAAGTGTCGGCGAGAGACCCCATGACGGAGCTGCGGAGACCTCCCCAAAGGAGTCGGAACCAAGGTCGGAAGCGGAGGCACCGACTACGGGGACGCCGACATCGCAATGCGAGTCGCCCGTCTCCCGCAAAACAAAGATCCGGAAGTCTCTTAAGCGGCCGAAAGAAACCATGCGATTCAGTCAAATTCCGCGTGCGTGGAAGCAGGATACGTGAGTGACACGCGATTCGCGGAGCCGCAGGGCCGCGCGCCAATTAGACGCGATAGGCCCCCTTGTCGAAATAGCGATTACTACGTGTCCCCGGAAGGATCAGCGCCCGGCACTTGTGCTGTGACGAGCGAGCGAGGAGCACCGACAAGGGATGCAGGATGTCGAGGATCCAGCATCGCGAGCCTAAGGCTTGATCGGAGGACTATCGGGGTGAGATGAGCGTCACATAATTGTAAGGTCGCCAATTTTCATATCCGGGAGGCGCGTGCAATTATCATTATCGGATTTAGTATGTGAGACGCACGCGGAAGTGTCGTGAGTTAGGTATTTGCGTCTAAGCGTGTCGCCTCCTGCGACGACTCATTATAAAATATTCGGGAGAGTTATTTTCCGCGTCCGCTTAAGTCACTATTACGTTGTTCGGAAAGTAATTTCGTTTTTTCTTATGAAAATGAAAGACGATTTTCAATCAGACGCGTTTCAAATGATCATGAACGGTCGAATTCGATAAATTTAATCTCTCAGCGATCTCACGAGTTGTCATTCGCCGGTTTGCATCAATTAATGCCTTTATTGTGTCTTCATCAGCTTCAACTGGCCTTCCAGAATGTGGTGCATCTTCAACATCAAAATTGCCGGATCAAAATTTTGCAAACCAGTTTTGGCATTGGCGTTCTGTCAATACATCTTCTCCATACACATCGGATAATTTTTTTTTTTGCTTGAACAGCATTTTTACCTTTTCGATAGTAAAAAAATAAAATATGCCGAAAATGCTGCTTTTCACTTTCGTATTTGATAGGGCACTAACCAAAAACTACTCCGTAGAATCAATCGAACTTTTTTCACAAGCAAGCCTTGCTATATCAGCTGTCAAAATATATAATGATTATGCGGCTTAAGTGTGAAGTTGGCTGTGAAAAAATTAATTAAGTTCTCTGTTGGGAAAAAACGAAATTACTTTCCGAACAACTCAATATTTGTTACTCTTATCATTACTAATTATTGTGTGATTTATCGCCCATTCGCTTCTCCAAACAATCTTTTATCCTCGACCACGAACCGCCCCCTCTGCCATTCTCGAGGCTGAGCTGAGGTTACGAGTACCGTCTACGTTCGCAGTTTGGGGGAATGTCGCGAGGAGAATATCCCGAATAATTTCGATAAAAAGTGGAGCACGCTCACTCCTTGCCTAGCACCCAACTATCGGTTTCGAGATTTTGCGTTGCCCTTAAGATTGGTTGCGTAAAGAATGTTTTTGTCGCGTTTTTTTTGAAGCTACACGCACCCTGATTATATAAGAGAGAATATTGGCTGCTAACGCGCGACGAAGTTGCGCCACGCTCGTGAATGAGGTTGCAGATAATAAAAAATATGAAGATAAAAAAATTTCAATGCTACATTCGGATTCAGCAACAAAAAGTCTACGAAAATTAAATTGACACACTCAATTCGCATTTACCATAGCATGTTGATCATTGTTATAAAAATAAAAATAGAATATATTATCAATGTCCCCATTTTTTTGTAGACTACAGATGATATTGATCCTGGCATTGAAAGAATTGAAAATGCTGCCTGGCAAAACAAAGTGTTCAACCTTTTGTGGTCCTTGTAGGAAAATCATGGGATTCAGTGATTGACTCCTATATAGTTATTGATGCAAGAACATACAACGTGGAGAATCCAATTAGAGCTGCTGAAGTTTGTTTTAAAATATTTTATTTATTTAATTGTGCTTATTCCAACTTTTGTAAACCTGTTTTGTTATTAATTCATATATCTATGAATTACCATTTGACAAGGGAGACAGCAATACAACTGTTAGTCATTGATTAAAGAAATTACAAAAAAATTAAGATAATGATAAGCTTCTTTGTACAATATCCGTTATATCGGTTCTGCAATTATATTCTTCTTTTTAGTTAATGTGGTTAATTTTTGCATAACTATTAAGTGTTGCTGTATTATACTTTCTTTTTTAAATTTTATCTGCATAACGTCATGCCTTTTTGTTCTCTATGCAAAACTAACTTTCTCTCTGTGGACACTTTTTATTTACATTTGAAGATACGCGAATGAGTCAACATGTAGAATTTAAATGTCAAGAAAGGAATTGTTGGCGGGATTTTCCGAACTGGAAAACATTTTGAAGACATTTGATAAAAATTCATAAATATCCTACTTATGTGCATCAAGTGATAATGAACTTATTTTAACAGACACACTTACAATTAGTGAGGAAAGACAATTAGCTGTTGATTCTAAAGTAATGAGAAAAATAGGGATGTCTCTGATATTTCAAATAAGGAAGGTGTAACAATATGTTTATTTAATGAAAGTGTGAGAAATAATTTACTGACATTTGTAAGTAAATTTTATGCAAATCCTATAGAAATTATATACAATTAGTTATTGATGATTTTTATCAATTTCTTTCTGATGCAGTGGTTAATTCGAAGCCGTTACTTTATAACATTTTGATAGAAAATCCCGCTAAAGATATAAAGGAAGAAATTGATAAAATTCTTACGATTTTAACAGAACCATTTTAGGATGTTTATTCAGATTATTATTGTCTCAAGATATTTTAAGAAATGGGCCATTATATTCTTTCCCAGTCATATGTTGTTGGTTCTAAGGCAATAAGCTGTTTCAAAATAGAATCATTAAAGAAATTGCTTTAATCAATTTATTCCCATAAGAGAAATGCTTTATAGTTTTTTTGTCTTCTTGGAGTTCTTCAAAAAATTTTAGAATAGAAATGAAAAAATAAAACGTGAAAAAATTAAAAATTGAAGAAGATTTATTGAATTTTGTTCAAGGAAAGATTTGGAAGGAAAAAGAATCTAAATATTTTGTTGCTAAAGATATGCTACTAATTTTTTTATATTATGACGATTTTGAAGTCAATAATCCGCTTGTAGTTACGCTGGAATCCGAAAAGTGAGAGAAGTATATTTTTCCTTGCATCCCGTCAGAGTTCACAGAAAAACTGGAAAACATATTCTTATGCCTACGCCTCTTTTATTCTTTAGATAGAGATACGTATTTAAATGAAAAAATTTTTCATATTGTAATGGATGAAATAAATTATTTGCAGAAGAAAGGCATTACATTTGAAATGAATGGTTCTAAAATAACAATTTATTTTGCTTTAGGATTGTTGCTTGGTGACAATTTAGCTCTAAATTCTGCTTTAGATTATGTAAGCTCTTTTAGAACAAATTATTATCCTGATAGCAAAGGAAACAGATTTTGAGCAGGGCCAGCTACCAATTTTTGATTGCAGAAAGGCAATAAATTGTACCCAGAGTTTCTATTACTTGACATTGTCAGCAAATTGCTGTCAGAAATATGACAAAGTTTGCTAGACATGCTTTGCCAGTAGATTGGTAACAAAAACCAAACAAAGTCCTACATAACTTGATAGCAGATTAAGAGTGGATTAAGAGTAAAACCTGATTCGAGCAAATTCTGCTCGATTTCTGCCACCAATCTGCTGGCATAGTCTACCAGCAGGTTTTGTCGACAAATCTATAGCTAAATGCGAATACAGATGGTTATGGTTTTGTAGTCAAAATCCAATCGAGTTTGCTGCCAATTTGGCCCTAAATTGCTAACATTTTGCTATCAGGGTACTGTAGATTTTGCAAAGCTTCTAGATAGAGTTAGATTGCAAAATACAGTCAGAGTTACAATGAAAACCTGAACACTACATATATCAGCAATGAATCCTTCCGTAACTGGTATTAAAAAATTATCTGTTTAGAGTAAAATTCAATACTTCAATATTTATTCTAATTATTCTTCTGATATTTTACATGATGTTAAATTCGGAGTTTTAAAATATGGAATAGGGCATATTATATTATATATGAGTACATTATTAAAAAGAAAACTTTTTTGCTTCAAACATTAAATGAGTGTATAGACTATTAATTATAAAAGAAATGAATTCAGAAATAAATCATTTATTTCAGCGGATGAAGTTAAGCAAAGAAAAATAAAAAAGAGATTTAGGCTTTTTTTACTTGTTTTGCTTTTTATGTAGGTGATTTTGTGCAGTATGATGATTATCGAGTTATTATATAATTTTATAGAAGATTATAGATCTCATTAATGCAAAATATCTCCAGAGGGGAGCAATCAAACTTCTTGAAACATTGACTACCGAACATCATAGACTACCTCAAGAAGTATTTGCAAATACATTGAAACCAAAATTCCATAATATCTTGCATTATTTTCAAATTTTACTCAAATCTGGCCCACTTAATCATTTAAACTATCTACGATATAAATAAAAAAATCGATTTTCAAAATTAATTGCTAGTGGCAGTTCAAGAAGAAATATTTTACATACTACGGCTGTGAAAAAACAGCTTCATTTATGCCATAGATTGATATCTAAGAAAGGTTTAGAAGAACATGTTTCGATGGGACCAGCATCCTTTATCAGTGATATATCATGTTTGGTATCATTTAATGTTAATAAGTTAAGTATCATTTATTTTCATCGTCTTTACCTGCAGAATTTAAATTTACAAATGTTGAAGTATCTTGGATTAAAAAAGCAGGAATAAAATACAGCATCAATAGTTGTATAATTTTTTCTCTTGACTCACAATATTTACCAATACTTATATATATTTGGAACTATTAATACTATAATCTGTAATGAGATTAGACACTTTATATGCGAAGTATGGACTAACATAGAATGTGATGAACAACTTCACGCATATGAAGTAATTAAAGTATTAAAGAGCGAATCTTATGTCTGCTGGTTATTATGGAATTTACATAGTCCATTTCCAGCTATTTTTCATAAAATGCCAAATTGAGAATATTATATTGCTTTAAAGGTTTCCATTTAGGACTTTATTACGTTCAATTTTATATAAATAAACTAACAGTTAAGTTTAGTTATACATATATGTGTATATTGTGAAACAGTGCTGGGATTTACTTGCAACTTTCAGTCGATTTTTAACTTGTTCCTGCCCTTTACTTCACTAATGCCGATCAGCATTTAGACTGCGCGTGGGTTAGTGAGGTAAGAGAATCAAGCTAAAAATCGGCCGAAAGTTGCAAGTAAATTCCAGCACTGTTGTAAAACAAATGTAATAATTTGAATTACATATTTTATTATAAATATATTTATATAAAAAATTACTATTTTTCAATAAATTTTGTGAATTGTAATTTGATTATTATATGATTTGTTCATTCCATTTTTTACTGCTTAATTTTTGTAAGATTTTATGAGTGGAGTTATATACTTCTCATAAAAAAGTTTTATATTGTACTCATATATTGAATGTCATATCTTTGTAGTATATGCATATATTGAATAAAATGAATAATTTTTATCGCGATAATTGCAACTAGCAAGTTTTCGATTTTGTGATTTATAGGGTAGTTACTATGTGAGTATTATATATTCTGAAAAAAATTACGTACATACATATACCATGACATATTCATTGAAATGTGAAACCGGTAAAAAACGCACGCGAAATCGAAGGCACAGCGATTGGAGACCTTGACTTAAGCGCACTTATAATGCACACTTCAACTGAATGTCATATCTATTTACATCTGAGTCAGTGAATAACATATATTGAAAATTGTCACTATTTCAATTTTGAGTTCTCGAGTAGAAAGAACTCTCCAATACGCTCTCCGTCTCGGATAATCTTTTCCACATTTTTACTCGATATTACATTCAATTTAAACGTATATTACAATTATTATGAGATGTTATTTTGAGAGAGAGAGAGAGAGAGAGAGAGAGAGAGAGAGAAAGACAGAGAATAAAATTCATTTATCTACACAGTTGAAATATTCTTAATTTAAATTTTCGCTTTAATTTGACATAAGGTGCATTACTTTAAATATGTACGAAGCGCCACTACAGTGGTATGAATGTTAAGATGTTGAACTATTATATATATTCATTTAAATGAATTAATTTCAGAAATTATAATTGTGTGCCGATATGGTTGTCGGACTTTCAATGCAATTAATTTAAAATATTAATAATCCTCCCAAATTTTCCAAATTTAATCTTAAAAACCGGTAATAAACTTATTACAAAAAATATTGTCTCGACCGGGAGTCGAATCCGAGTCTCCTGCAATGCGTGCAAGTATCCTAACCCTTTAGACTAGATCTTAGCAATATTCCTCGCAATAACCGATATATATAGATAGCTACGCATTGTAGGCGAGCGTGTATAAACAATAATAAGATTGAAGATAAGATCGTTTATGTTAGATATATTACTTTAAAGCTCCGCTATGGTTTGAATGTTAAGCTATAATATTATATGAACTATTATATACGAGGGCAAGTCAATAAATTTTTAGAAAAACATAGTAAAACACATCTTTTTGATCAATTCATTTTTATTTCTCAACATAGTCTCCTTTCAGCTTTATACACTTGATCCAATGATTCTCCAACTTTTTCAAGCCGTCCGAATAATATGATTTGTCCAATTCTTCAAAATAAGCCTCTGTTTTGGCGATGAGCTGCTCTCTGGTGGTGAATTTCTTTCCTCTGAACCATTTCTTCAGGTTTGGAAACAGGAAATAGTCGCAGGGGGCTAAATCTGGCGAATATGCTGGATGGGGAAGCAATTCGTAGCGGAATTCGTTGAATTTGGCCATTGGTGCACGTGTGAACCTGTGCATTGTCCTGATGGAAGAGCACTTTCTTCTTCGCCAAACGAGGACGTTTTTTCTTTATTGTAAAATGTTGTTGAAACGGTCCAATAAGACTGCGTAGTAATCGCCATTGATCATTTGCTTTGACGGAAGGTAATCGATATAAATTATACCGCGTGTATCCCAAAAAACTGTGGTCATTACCTTTCCGGCCGGTCTTCGCCTTCTTTGGAGCTTGGTTCACCCGGTGAAGTTCATTGTTTTGACTGTTCCTTCATCTCGGATGTGAAGTAATGGATCCATATTTTGTCCACAGTAATGAATCGACGCAGAAATTCATCTAGATTACGTTGAAACATCTCCAAACATTGTTTTGAAATCGTCACACAGTCGCGCTTATGATCCACAGTGAGGAAACCCGGCATCCATCTTGCCGATAGCTTTTTTATACCCAATTGTTCGTGCAAAATTGAAATCACTGTGCCATGTGATATGTCTGCGGCCTCAATAAGCTCGCGCACTTTCACTCGTCAATCAGTCAAAATAATATCATAGACTTTATCGATGATTTCTGGCGTAGCAGCCTCAATTGGACGTCTCGAACGAGGTGCATCACATGTGGATGTACGACCACGTTTAAATTCATTCACCCAATTGTATACAATCGCAAACGCTGATGCAGATGTGTTATGAACATTATCCAATTCGGCTTTGATTTCTTTCGGCGTTAAACTTTTCATATGTAGATGTTTGATCACGAAACTTTTTTCCACTTTGCAAAAAATACAAAGATTGTTCGCTTTCGTCTACAGAAATGAAACCACGCGATGAATTCCGTTCAAAATTTGACAGTAATCAGCTGAAAGATGCTACTTGTCAAAAAGTAATGTGACATGACATTGCGAGTGCCCTCTGATAGATTTTCTAAGAACTTATTAACTTGCCCTCATATATTGATTTAATTGAATTAATTTCAGAAATTATAATTGCGTGCCGATATGGTTGCCGGACTTTTACTTAACTTTTACGGATTTTGACATAAGATGAATATGTTAGAAAGTAACACAAACATTATGTAAAAAAATTAACACGAATAATTTAATATTTTACGTTTATTTTTCTTTCATCTTTTAATCTACGTTAATTGCATTATTTTTGTTATTTGTTGACTCATTTATAAAGTGTATTATTTTAATACTTACAATTGTTTAATATCAATTTAACACAAAATATTTAAATAATCCAACCATATTATATTAAATTAAACAATTATGTTAAAAATTCAACATAAAACTTTAACCAATTTTAACACACATGCGAAATACTTTTTACACAGCTATAAATTTATACAAGTTTAGTATAGAGAAAAGATGTCGCTATATTGTTTACCGTTATTTTATATTTATAAACTAAAAAACTTTTATTCTCAAAAGCAAACTTTCTGCATAAAGAAGAATTCATATGTCTGATTTATTGTTTTATATGGATCCCTCGCCATTTTCTTCGTGATTATACAGGGTGTCCTGATAATTGTTCAGATGGAATTCGTAGACATGTAAAGCGGTCAAAATTAAGACGGAAACCTTTACCATTTTGCAATTTTCCTTTATTATTTTGCAATTTTCGCAATAGTTTAACAAAATATTAATTGCTAAAAATTGCTGAAAATTGGTCTTCAATAATTATTTACTTAAATACTATCAACTTTACAAAAAAATTGCAAGAGACAAAAATTATTTATTTTATTTTTATAGAGCTCTAAGAATCTTCTTTAGAATTTTTTCAGAATTTTTTAATGCCGTATTTTCTCATGTTGATAAAAGTAAAAAAACTAAAAAGTTGATAAAAAATTCGGAAAAAATCTTAGAGTTCTAAGAAAAAAATAAACAGGAGAAAATAAACAATTTTCATCTCTTGCCATTTTTTTTGTAAAGTTGATAATTTTTTAAATTTAAATTAAAGAATTACTATCTTGTTAACTATTGTAAAAATTACAAAATGGTAGAAGATTTTCCGTCTCAGTTTAGTCCGCTCTATATGTCTACAAACTCAGTCAGAATAATTATCAAACACCTTGTATGTATCATTGACGTATCATTGACGTACCATTGTATGTATCATTGATTAACTCCATACATACAAACGAAAATAAAAACTAAAATTTGAGAGGAGACTAAAAATATTTTCAAAATGTTTTGACAACAAATAATATTAGACTGCAGTCAAGGAGACAAATTTATTTCATGTTACGTCAATACGATTAGCTTGATATTCTCTAGATATTTGACAAATGTCAAATGATACAAATGTTCAGCTATACATCGCGTAAATGCGACTATTTGTCTCGCGAATTTTATATCAAAATCACTTACACTCCTCTCCCCCCATTTTGGTGCATTCAAGATACATAAAAAGCGCTTTCACTCGATCCATCGCCATCGTGCTCGAGTACAGCACCTGGCGAACCGTTTCAACATTTCATACTGATTTATATGTAAGTATGAAAGAACAACAAAACCGACAAGTGTAGCAAGACTCTTGATATCAAACACATGGTGGTCTAATGTGATTCGCGATCTAATCTAAATTTTTTATAATAAGTATTCACTCTATCGTATCGATAAACTCATTCTAAAGCGTTTTTTCATTTAATTTATTTTTAATATGAGCAGATAAATGAACATCGCGCATCTTCGGTTAACCGTGCAAATACCGCGGCCTTGCTATAATTAATTTTAACACGCTATTTGTGGCATAAAAAAATGCTATGTATCACACTGAGAGAAAAATGTTTGGTATTTGTAACTATAATTATATACAATAAGATCAATAGGCTCTAAATAAAATTCTAAAAAATAATAAATAAAATGCCAATTTGAGCCGACACTGTTATTAGTGTGTATTTTATAATATATTATAAAATACACACTAATAATCAATGCACAAATTGGCATTTTATTTATTATTTTTTAGAATTATATATAACTATAATTATGATTATTACTGCTATAATAATAATAGTACAGTAACTAACTATGTATAGTAACAGTAACTATGTATATAATTCTAGCAACAAATGTATATACTTGGCAACTTAAAATGTCTATAATTATAGTTAATATAATCATAAAATAGTTGAAATTATCATAAAAATGGTTCAAGTGGCTATAATTTTACAGTTATATTTTTGGACAATCATATTTTTTATGGTTGTCCTAAAATATAATTGTAAAATTATAGTACTTGAATCATTTTTATGGTAATTTCAACTATTTTATGATAATTATAATTATAGACATTTTAGGTTGTCACAACAGCAAATATGCATTCGTTGCTAGAACTATACACATAGTTACTGTTATTATTATTATTATAGCAGTAATAATCATAATTATAGTGTAATATATAACTATAGTTAGAAATACCAAACATTTTTCTCTTAGTGGATATAGTCAGCACATATAGTTGGATAAACTCGCGGGATACGAAACAATTTTCCATCGTCCGCTTTGCGCAGCAATATCTAAATTAATCTACAAAAATCATGAAAGGAATATCGCTTATCGGCAAATTATTGAACGGAATTAACGTGTGTGATTCGAGTATGGGAATTCAGTTCACATATTAACATATAACTACTTCGAAAGAGAACATAACATAAGAATGTGACCTTTTTACACGGGATGAATATAAAATATTACAACGACTATCAAATAAAAAGCAGAAGCGTGTAACGCAAAAATGTATACTATAAAATACGCATTAAAACAAAAAAATGTAGATATGCGTACAAACAGCGCGATATGGCAAGAAACGTATTGTGTGATAAATAAACTTTTTGTGTTTATTTGCAAGATATGATTTTAAATTGGATTAGATGTTAGATTCTTATGGAAACTATTTTATTTTCGCTATGTACACATTGCAGTTGAAGAATTTAGGTTAAAATTAACACTCATGTCACATGACTAAATTTTTGTCTTAATTTAACATAAAATGAATACGTTAGAAAGTAATATACATAAACATAAATATGTTTTGTAAAAGCATTAACATAGAGAATATAATTGATAAGTACTACGGAAGCATACTTGTATCTTCAGTAAAATTAACATGTTAAATAATACAAAAATGTCAAATCAATACGTTTCTTCTTATAATAATATTGGGTGATCCGGAAAGTCCGTGCGGATTTTACAATGAAAAATTGTATATGCGATACCTTCGTCAAAAATGAACGAAATTTAAATTTAAAAAAAGGGTTTTAAAGCTTCAAATCTCTACTTTTAAAAGCTTATCACATTTTTTAAGTTTATATGAGTTTGATAATTTTTACATACCAAAAACTACAAGCTGAAAAAGATAAAAAATTTTCTTTTCACTTTGGGGGTCTCTCACGTGCCCAAAAAAAATTTACGAAAATTTTCGACTACCCATCGTGAAAACTTAAAGCTTTCCCTACAAAATCATTTTTTAAAAATGTTCCTATAATTTTTTGTTTCTGAGTTATTCGCGAGTTAAGTAAAGAAGCATTCTGATTTCGATTGCTCATAACTCCGATAAAAATCATCATATCGCAATTTAAAAAACAGATTCTTAAAGCTAAAACTTTGCTCTAGCGAATGATATAATCGTAACGAAAATTTCGCAACAAATAAAAAAACTTTTGAAAAATCAATGAAAAAATCCGCACGGACTTTCCGGACCACCCAATATATCAAATTTACACGTTTCTATAAAATAAAATGATTTTATTTAACTCAATATACGTTTTGAAAAAGATTATTTTTGTTTGATAATATTCTTGAGGCTTTAACGGATGCTTTCTATATCAAGATTATGCGTTTTGCGGATTTCCTCCGTGTCCAGATCCATTCTTGGCATGCCAACATTTGGTGAATCTTGCAGTCCCCTTCATTACTCCCCGACATACAACTTATTCCGCTTCCAAGCATAAACAATAAGTACTACAACCCCTCACTGGAAAATCCGAATCACACATAACCAATTGACTTCATATAAAAGATCCAAAAACCCGACTGCGTCCCATCTATTTGTAAGTTTTGACATAGAATCCCTTTTTACACAAGTCCTAATAAAAGACACATTAAACATAATAAAGGCCTCATATAGTCCCCTCCGACTTCATCCCGCTAATAGAACATTGCTTAACAATCACTTACTTCTCCCATAACCAATTTTATGAATAAACTTCAGGAGTGACACTGGGCTCTTCTATTTCTCCTGTAATCGCCAACATTTTCATGGAGCATTTTGAGAAAGAGACCTTTAGAAAAACATCCAAAAAACCAGAAGTTTGGTTTCGTTATGTAAACGATATGGAAACACGGCAGAGCCGAACTCCGTAAATACCTTATTGTCCTCAACAATTAACATCCAAATATCTACTTTACTATAGACATAGAAAAAAACGGAAAATTCCCTTTCCTAGATGTTCTTGTTTCTAAGAAAGCTGACGATACCTTAGACCACACACATCAAGCGTACAGAAAACCAACACACACAGATAATACATCCCGAGTCACATCACCACCCAGCACAAAAACAGTCTGCAATCAACTTATTTGTACATAGAGCTTTGACTATCGCTGACAAAGAACATCTACAGAACTCAACCTAAAACTAGCCTTATAGAAAAACGGACACGACAAAAAAAGACAACCAAAATAATCAATAAATATGCAAATAAGACAACGATCTTTGACACATAACCAGATGAAAGGATCCTACCCATTCTCCCATATGTCAAAGGAACAACAGATCGGATTGGCAGTAAACACAATATCCAAACTATCTTTACATCACCCAAGAAGATAGGACAAATTTTAAGAAATCCTAAAAATCAAAGACCTCCATTCAGCTCTGCAGGAGTATACAAAATACATTGTTCCTGCGGGCGAATATATACATTAGAGAAACCGGGAGAATGGTCAATGGTCACCTACGGATAAAAGAACACCAACGTGATGTTAGGCTAAAACACGCCACGCAGTCAGCATTATCAGAACACAACATCGAAATAGGACATCAAATACTATTTGACAAAACGGCCACAAAAGCCAATATTACATCATACTTTCCAAGTATAGAGAGCCAAAGAGCCAAAAACACCCTAACAATCTAAATAGAGATAACGGCTACAACATAAATAAAATATGGAAAACCATTCTCCCGGTTATTGAAGACCGACCAATTTCCCCCACCTTCCCCCCCCTCCCTCACCCTCAATTCTCTTTTTTCCCATCACAACAAGTAGCGTAATATAAAAGGAACGACCCACAGGAGTAGCTTAGTATCAGGCTGTTTTTTTGCCCTGATGAAGTGAACTACATGATTCACGAAACATTGGCATTCCAAGAATGGATCTGAACACGGAGGAAACTCGCGAAATATTGGACATAATTTTTATTATTTTTATATTGTGTCATAATTTGTTATTTTAACACTAAAAAATATTGAATATCAACTTAACAGAAAATGTTCAACCAACGTAATCACATTATGTTAAACTAACAATCGGATATATTAAAAATTTAACTAACAAATTTTGAAAAAGACCGATTTTAACGCAAATATAATATGCTTTTTTTACATATGTAATAACATGTGTAAAAAACATCATCTCCTATCCAAAGTTAGAAAATATTGGTTTATTTCGATGCAATTATATTTCGACATTTGCGTAATTGTGCGCTTATCCTAAATAGAATGACTAGATAGACTGTTAAGCTAGCATCTCCCCTCTCCCCAAAAAAAATCAAGATGGCACCTATGCCAGAATTAAATGCGTTGTATGTGCTAATTATGTACTCTAATGCCAAATTTTGTGCTCTAACGGTTTAGCAGAAAATCGCAATTGAATGTGGGGGTGCTAGCTTAACGTTAGGTTAGCACCTCCTTCATTAAATTACATACAAAATAAAAAAATTAGTACAACAAAATTATGTACTTTTTATTTGCTTTCAAAATAACAAATCAAAATTAATGTAACCGTAACGGTTTATAAGATATACGCCAATCAAATTTGATATATACAACATTTTTAATAGAGTAAAATACCAGTTACAATAAAGATAGCGATTAAGATATTCTTCTATTTATGTGCTCTCAAAATATAAACAATAAAATTTTTGTGTTCATCCCCTTTGATCGGAAATCATTCCCAAAGTGAGTGCCAATTAAAATGCAAATACCGAATTAGTTGTAGTCTTAAATTGTGCCTTCATTTATGTGCTCTCGAATTATGCACGAGATTGCATTGGTGCATCTTATGCCAAAGTGGAGTGAGTGATCACTTCGGGGATAATTTTCCGATCAAAGGGAATGAACACAAAAATGTCATTGTGCATTTTGAAAGCACATAAATGAAGAAACAATTTGGTCCCAATTCGATATCTGCATTTTAATTGGTACTTTAGATTGGTTCTTGTAGATGATGGGTGGTCATTTCAAAGTGATTTTCCTTTCAAAGAGGATGAGTATTAAAAACTTGTGCATATTTTGAAAGCGCAAAAGTGAAGGAACAATTTGAGCCTACAACCAATTTGCTATCTTTATTGTAATTGATACTTTACTTTTGTACCGATGTTACAAGTATCAAACTTTATTGGCGCATATCTTTTAAACCGTTACGGTTACATCAATTATTACCGTTACCAGTGGCAAAGTATCAATTCGTTAAATTGTTAAATCAGTTAATGAATTAGTTAAGCTGCGGGAAGAAAAAATTTTGATGAGCTTGCAGCGATGCCGCAAGTTAACCAAGAGATGTAAGTATATATTCATCAAGAATATTCTTATATTCATCAATTAAAATTGTAGTTTTAATTGTTCGTCAATGATATTCTTATTGAAGGTCTTTTTATTCCAACCCAAGTAAGTGGCAACTTTAATTCTCTGTCAAAAACTACCATATTACTCTTCGAAAAAAATTAATGTATGAAATAAAAAATTAAAATCTAGATGCTACAATCTTAACTAATCAAGTTAAATTTTATCAAATTAAAAAGTAAAACATAAATAGTACTGTCTCTTGTTATTTATAAATTTACTTATTTAAAAAAAAGGTAAAAAAAGCGCTAAGAGTACGTACTTTTTATAAAGAATTATTTGGTCTGATTTCATTATGTTTGCTGTTTAATAGAATTGACCACTTATGGTTGATAGTTAATCACTGATTCGGCTTAATCGAGTTGGTGAACCTGGTCCTTTGTAATACAAAGTATCCAACTCAATTAATAGTAGTTTTTTCAAGGATATTTTTGAGATTGAAGATTCCAATCCAAGTAATGGCAACTTTAATTCTCTGTCAAAAATTATTACTTTTCGAAAAAAATTAATGTAACAAATAAAAAATTAAAACCCAGATGCTACAATCTTAACCAATCAAGTTAAATTCTACCTATTAAATTCTAATTCTATTATATTCTAATTAAAAAGTAAAACACAAATGATACTATCTCTTGTTATTTACTTAATTCTAATAATACATCATTCGTATAAAAGACTTGATATCAACAAAATTGGCGCCAAATAAAATTCCTCCAAATTTTATGTATTAATCGTAAAAAAGATTTGATATCAACAGTTGGCGTCAAGTTAAATTCCATGTAATTTGGATACAAAATTAAATAAATAATATTAATTTTAATGATATGTATACGTATCATTCTTATAAAGGATTTGATATCAAGAACTGGCGCCAAGTTAAATCTCATTTCTTTATACCATGCCAAATTAAATAAATAATGAATATTAATCTAATGTTACGTCCGGCGGACTCACGCGACTCTTTTCTTTCATAAAGATCTCGAATTCCTCGAAGCTCTAAAATTTTATATTCTTTCCTTTTTATTTTTCATCTTAAAAACTAAGAATCCGTTATCTCCTCATGAATGTCGCTCCGAGATAAAAATCAATGATTAACGCCAAGATTAACAATCAAGTCGCGAACGATTTTCGCGAATTCGTAATTATAAAATTTAAGAAACGGCACGCGACGTTCAGGGGTAGATTCTGGGTGGTCCCGTGGCGACGATGCGTCCGCGACATTTCGGCGCCCGAAACGTACGTTTCCCCATAAATCTTAGGGTCATAAAATTTTGGAGTTTCACTTTCCCACTCTATCGATTCCTGTCAACATCTTTCCTCCCCCAAAAACTTGACCAATCTAAGAGCGAAAGAAAATCCTACTCCCAGCTAACGAAACCTATTCCACCAATCCAAATTTGAGTAATCTGCGGCGATTAGTATAAAAATCGCGATTCCGCAACCCCCGTGTCAGTTTTTACAGAAAGTCTTTTTAGAGAACATATAGCGTGGCAGTTAGATAGAAGAACGTACGGATAGAGTTCGATATAGACAGTCAGTGAGATACCAGATTTTTCTCTAAGTTCCGGACTTGTACTTGTCGAGCGATAAGTCGCGATACTCAAAGTTCCCGATAGAATCAGTGAGTTGGTCGCGATACTCGAAGTTCCCGATAGAGTCAGTGGGATCAAGTGTATTATCGCGATTCAAGCTAATTCAAAAGCCTGTTTCCTAATCGAAGAAGTCCGTTGAAGCTAACAGTAACATCTGACGCCACCTTGTCCGCGGTTGGGCCATCTTACATCATCAGTAAGTCAAAATTATTTAATATCGGTTGGTCCCCTCCCCCCGTCTTTCCCTGTTGCTTTTTGGG